TCAGGTCTGTGGGCCGGGGGGGGGGGCTGGGGGGCTGATGGGGACAGCTGGGGGGCGAGTGGCCGCCCGGGAGATGCTGGCTGCATGCCGATGCTGGCCGACGCAGGAGGCAATGGGAAGAACCACGGCTCTGCCGCCAGCGCCGCGGCCCCAACACGCCGCGGCCGCTGCATTATCTGTCCCCGGCAGAAGGGAGGGCTCGGGGGAGACGCGGCGAATGCAAATGAGGGGCTGCTTGTAACCGAAATATCCGGGGTGACAATAAGGTGGCAGGAGCTGCCTCCTGCCTGCATTCCCCCTCGCACTGCCAGACGGTGGAAGAGCATCACTGGGGGCAGGCACAGCAGCCCAGGGTCCCCCCCAGTGCTGGGAGCACTGTCTGTGTGCCCCCTGTGATGCATCCACCCAGGAGCATCCCAGGGGGGCTGTGGGCTGGGTCTCAGCCCGCCTGCCCCAGCCCACGGCATCGCCCTGCAGCCAGGACAGGATCCCCCAGCACACAGGGCTCGTGCCGGATGCCGTGGGGAAGCCCATCCTGGGATTACACGGGCTTTTCCCACCTCCTCTTTCATCCTGCATCATCACCAGGCCACATCAGAGGGTCCCTGGCATTGTTCATCCCCCTCCATCTCCACCTACCCTGGCCAGTGCACCATGGGGGCTGGGTGCTCCCCAGCAGCAGCAGTGTGCAGGATGCAGGGATGCTTCAGGGACAGAGGTGGAGCTGACCGGGCTTGGACTCATTCCATACAGGGGTTTGAACCCTCCAAGACCCAGGGGGAAACCATTGGCCCGCCCCAGCTCTGCCCTGGCTCTTCACAGCCCCTCCAGCACCATGGAGGTGTCTGGCATCCACCAAAGCTCCCCCACTGCAGCAGTCCAGGATGGGGAGAAGGACGCACACAGGGAGGTGCAGCCGTCTCCTCTCCCCAGTCCCAAAATCCTGGCATGGCCTTAAAGCCCAGAGGGGCAAACACAAGGCTGAGGGGCAAGTCCTGACCCCCCTCAGGGCACAGCCCTGAGGGACACAGGCTGAGGATGTCCCCATCACCGGGGCTGTGCCCAGACCCTCGCGCCCACAGGGCCATGCATGGGTGGGCAGGGGGCGGCCACCCGGTTCCCCTTTGCAGGGAAGGGTGAATCGCCCTCGCTATTGCCTCCATTTCGGGACTGCGCTCCCCAACGTGCTCATTAGCAGCAGAGATCAATGTTTCACACTTGCTACTTCATTATTTATAAGTTCAAGCCCTCACTCCTCTGCGGGAACGTGCAGCCCCGTCAGCTCCCAGCTTGCGTTTCCTCTCCCTCCCTGCGCCGGCAAAGGGCCCCCGGAGCCCTGCTCATCTCCCGTGGATCTGCTCCTCGCCCAGCAAGGGAAAGGCCCAGGATTCCTGTCTCTGGGCTCTAAACCCCATTAATTTTCTCTCCAGCCCAGGGAAAAAGGAGAAACCCGGAGGATAAGCTTCCTCTCCACGCCCCAGTATGGCCCGTGGGATGGGAATTGGGGCTGCCCCATGTAAAACCAGCATTAAACCTCGGGACGGTGCCCCATGCTCGTGAAGCCCCTTTTTGGGGGTCGGTACAGCCTGGGGTGATGTGAGCAGCCATGCCTGGCGTGGTGCAATGTGCATTTGCAGCCTTTCCTTCTCACACCCCGTGAGCGAGCCACGTCCCCAACTCCTCGTCATCGCCCTGCTTCAGGGCAGAGTGGCTGAGCCTGGCATAGGAGCTGGGAGCCCTGGGGCAGAGCGCACGGGACATTCTCGATAAACTGCAGAGGATTAAGTCCTCTGGACCATTTCCATGAGGCTCCGGGGCTGAGCTGGCACTAGGGAGAATTGAGTTTGACACAGAGATCATGCCGCTGCCTTTTTCATTGGATTCTGCATCTTCTGCCCTGGAAATATCGACTGCACAGAGGAAGAGCAAGGGAGGGAACAGGAAAGGTCTGGAGCAGCCCCGGCAAACCCCAACCACACTCCTCCTCTCCTCCTTCCTCCCATGTCTGGAGCAATGCAGGGGCTGCTGTGATGAAGAACGAATCCAGTGGCATCTTATTGTACCCCACTGCACCCCATTGCACCCTGCTGAGCCTCCCCACCGCCCTTCTGAGCTCCACTGCACCTTGGTGAACCCCACTGGACCCCACCAGATCCCACTGTGCCCCTCTGCACCCTGCTGTGCCCCCTGTACCCTGCTAAACCCCAATGCATGCCCCACTGCACCCCCAAAGCCTCTCTGCACGCCTCTGAACCCCCTGCTTAGCCCACCTCACTTCAGCTGGTGTGCATTGGGGTCAGCTCCCGCCACCCCAGGAGCACCGTGGCTTTTCCTCCTGCAAAAAAACCCTTGTGTCGTTCAAACCTGCCCCATTGGTGGGTGCCGGGGTGTCCTCCAGCACCCGTGGGAGCTCGGACGGAGGGGTGCAATGGGGCACACTCAGGCTGCTGGTCTCAGGGTACTCAACCAGAGGATGCTGCTGGTCTCCCTGCTCTACCTCGACCCTCAGCCCCGCAGGACCCGCGGCCCAGCACCCACCGGGGGACCCAGGCATCTGGCCCACAGCACCCCATGGCCCTGCACAGAGCTGCAGCAGTCACAAGCCCGGGAGCCACACGGTGAGCGGAGCTCCCCCACGGTGCAGCATTAGTGGATAATCATAGAGCCGGAGTGAAAAGCATCTCCAACACAGCTGGAGAGACCGGGCGCGGGAATTACTGATACCCAGATATTTCCTGGAGCTTTAGGCAGTTAATAAACAAACTGCATGGGCCAATCTGGCTCTGGAAAAACAAGTTGGGGGCCACACGTGGGCAGCAGGGACGGCCACTGGCCTGAAATAGCATGATTGTCCTGGTTTGGGGCCAGTCCCCGGCGGCACGCCGAGCTCCGGCAGCTCCCACCACAGTGCCCGATGGACCCGGCACGTTTACAAATTCTGTAAGACATTCAAGTGATTTACGTAAATCACTTTTTTTTTTAGCAGCACATTCTCTTGAACTTATAAGTATTTGAAACTGCTCACGTGTATCCGTTATTTCTGAGTGGCGATTCACCTCCGGCATCCTGGCGGTTCTCCCCGGGGCCCGGCCGTGCCATCCCCACCTGCATGCATCATCTGCAAACTCCCGGCCAGGCTCGCCCTCCGCATCGGCCTCTCTCTGCTGTAAAACAGCAGCATCGTTTGTC